AGACTGAGGCCCCAGAGCCAGCCAGCAGGGGCTGGGGCCCAGGACCTTGGGGTACCCATGCAGTGGCAGTGTGTGTGTGGGGGTCTGTGCAGGTGGGGGTCCTGAACCTTGGGGTGGGAGTGAGCGTGTGTGGGTCTGTGCTGGGGCGGATCTCAGGCTGAAGAGAATTGTTGGCCTTGCCACATGCCTGTTTCTGTATGTGATGTATTTTTTTTTTTAATAGAAAATGGCAGGAAGCCAGTCAGAAAATCCAGGAACTCCAGGCCAGCCAAGAAGCGAGAGCAGACCAAGAGCAGCAGATTAGGGTGAGTTGCTTGTGTCAGGTGCCTTGTGGACATCCCAGGCTAGAGTGCAGTGGTGCAATCTCAGCTCATTGCAACCTCCGCCTCCTGGGTTCAAGTGATTCTCCTGCCTCAGCCTCCCGAGTAGCTGGGATTACAGGTGCGTGCCACCACGCCCAGCTAATTTTTGTATTTTTAGTAGAGACAGGGTTTCACCATGTTAGCCAGGATGGTCTTGATCTCTTGACCTCGTGATCTACCCGCCTCACCCTCCCAAAGTGCTGGGATGACAGGTGTGAGCCACTGTGCCCGGCCTGGTTTGGTTTTTTCCTTTGCAAATTGCTGGGCATGGAATCTCTGGTTTGCCTGTGCTGCTTTGTGCGGGTGCACAGTGGCTTCTTGTCTGTAAGGTGGCTGGAGTTTTCAGGCTTAATTCTTCAGTGCATATGGTTGGGAGTGTGAGCTGTAAGCAGGCCTGGAGTTTTTCTCTTTCTTCCCTCCCTTTCCTCCTTCCCTCCCTCCTGTCTGGATGATTTTTTGGCATATGAAAGTAACGTGTTCACCGTGGACACACTGGGTCGTAGAGAAGATCCTGTGGCCAGTTTGTTTGGTTTGAGTCCCTTCTCTTGGCTCTAGAGAAAAGGAGGACTCTGTTTCACACATAACTTGTACATATTTCACTTTGTTTTCCTTCTTCAAGGTTAAGACTAGATTTGATTTAGTCACAGAAATGTGGGTGTACCTGCTGATTCATGAGCAGGTGGAAGCCTCCCAGGGCAGTCATTTTTTTTTTTTTTTTTTTTTTTT